GTTTGCAGCGTCGACACATCTCACTTATTTTTTACGCGCAACCACCGTTCAGTTGCGCTTAAGAAATAAGTGAGATGCATCGATGTTTCAAACGCGACGCGGCTTGTTGACGTATGGCTACGATCAGTTACGATAGGCGGCAAATTTGAATTCACGTCACTTGCTAATTACGGTGAATTAAGCGGAGGGAGGGGTACGGAGGTGGTCCCGCCCACGCCATTGATGTCCTGGCCTGAGCAGGAGAGAGAGGGGGAAGAGGGGAGTGGAACAGCAAAATGCAGTGGTAGTTGGAAATGTGGGGTGAATCAGTTCACCTCACCTTTAGAACTGTGAAAGCTAGGAAGTTGAAGTTGTCTTGGTCAATGTGCGGGTTAGCGATGGACGGTTAAATTCGTCGATTCGCACAAATGATGAAAACCCGTCCTCAGCTGAATAGTGGCATAATGTGGAACCCCCTTCTTTCTTCCCTATTCCCCCTCTATGAGAGACGGTACTTCAAAGTTCCATGCAAAAACGCATGATCGCACCGGCTCGCCTGGTGCGTTCCAGCCTGGATTTTGAATATTTTGCATGCGCTATCACAAGACGCTTTTCTAATTTTTGAAAACAGCTAGTGAGTTCATATCTTGATCCTGACTAAAGTCCCAAAGTGCGTAACAAGAAGTCCAGCTCATTTCGCATATTGGCGGCCTGTTTATACTCGAGATTCTCATCAACCCTTCACTCTTCGGGTGTTGATCTATCGCGTACGCTTCTCCGTTAATGTAGGGCTCGCTTCTTTACGTTTATTTTCCACATCGTTGTCCATGTCAGCCCCCTAGGAGTTTTCCTGCCGAAAAAATTTATTGAAAAGCGAAAAGTTTTCCACTTGATGTTAGTGGACATTTTTTAAAGAAGTTGCGAGTGCCCTTGACTGCTTACTCATGCCAGTGCTTGTTGAAATAATATTTTAAATGCGCAGGTACGTTATTCGTATCAAGATATAAAGAACGAAACAGAAGCAATGCCGGAAGCACTGTTACAGTGCCCGAAGCTTGGCTGTGAATGGCTCTGCATGCTGGTTTATAATTTGGAGCACCACCCACGTGAATACTCGTTTGATATACGAGCTCAGGTTGACGGCGTTTGGAACAAGTGGGTACCAATCGTAACAAGGTAAAAAGTACTTTTTTTGCTGCCTCTGTTATAAATGTTTGAACTGTATGCTCAAAGAACTGTTTTTACTACACTGCAGACATTGTTTGCACAAATCTGGTATGGATGCGATATATTCTAAACAACTAGTTGTGCTTGTTTATACAGACATTTTAGAAGAAATAAAAGTAGAATTTAACAAATCTTCCAGGTAGCGCTAGCAAGTAACAGAAAGAATTCCGTTAGAATGTGGCAAAAAATAAAAATAAAAGATAACCATTTAGCGAACAAGACAGGTAAGAAATGTCTGAATTGAAAAATTATTGCTCACATTTCAGGCACTGGAATTTGATGGAGCGTATGTGCAGCATCAATCCACCGCCGTATTACGTTGAAAACGTGGCTAAAGAGGCTAACATGCGTGAAATTGACTTGGATAATTTCGATGATATGCTTCACTCGGGTGCATGGTGAGCTTATTGTGAAATTTTGGATTTAATCGGCTCAGCGCTCAGTTAGTAACGTACCTAGAGTCTTTTGAACAAAGCATATGTGGAAAACTTTTGCGTAGTGGACATACTTGATGAGTTCTGAAAAGGGCGCACTAGCTTATTTTTTGATGTTTTTACATATTTCCGCAAGTACAAAAGTGCAAATCGGCAAGAAATTGTCTGTGTGTATTCGTGTGTGTCTGTGTTTGTGTGTGTTTGGATTTTTTCACCTTCTTTCAAGTCAGCAACTAAAGAAGCTGGAAAACAAAAAAATATATGCATTAAAAAAAATTAATTTGTCAATCTGATTATCGCTAATCGACGAGAACGTAATTGTCAGGAGCTATCTGATAGTCATCGATCGCCGTGGTGGTGCTGAGAGCAGCTTAATTGCACTTGACCTGTCTCAGCTGGTTGATAAAGCCACTGCTGATTATGAGCAACTCCCTTATTACGTTACAGCCAGTTTATCGCCGCAGCAAGTGCAGCAGCGAATGCCTTTCAAGTGAGTGACATTTATCCTGAATAACCAATCTGATCAGGAAACAAGAAGTAATACTCAGATTTGAGCTGGAATTTTTCTTGATTCTGTGAAATCCTTTGCTTTAGCGCTTCCTTAAAATAGCCACTCTCTTCAGATGGTTAGTGAGAGCAGCACTGCAACTGCAACAAAATGGGTACCTCCACAGTTCTTTGGTTTGTCTTTGTGGTAAGCTAATGCTGGCATATTGAAAATCAATAAGTTTAATTTTTGCAACCCATCTTTCACAGAGAATTGATTGTCGTGTTACACTGGGGTATTTTTTTTTTAAAT